CCTTCTTCCCTCTTCCTAGACCTTAACAGTGGGGGAAAGGATATATTAAGGCAAAGTAAAGATAGTGCCAAATTCTTTGACATGCCTCCCATCAAGAGGTGAGATCTCTATCCCAACTCCTTGGTTCTGGGTGGGCTCTGTGACGGCTCTGACCAAAAGAATGGAGTGGAAGTAATGTTGAGCCCATTTCTGGGCCAAGACCTTATGAGACTGGCAGCATCCACCTCCACTTACTTGCCATACACAAGAAGCCCAACTACTCTGATGGAGAGATCATATGGCGAGGTCCTGAGACTACATGGAGAGGGAGAGGGGCCCAGCTGAGCCTGCCAAGGGACCAAATATGTGAGTAAAACTGTCTTGAACCCACCAGATGAGCCCAGACACCAGCTGCATGTCACCAAGTGACACCAATCAAAGCACGTAGAACAGAAGAAGTGCCTGAATTCCTGACCCACAAAATCATGAGACATAATAAAATGGTAGTTGTTTTGCAGTAGTGGATTAAACAGCAATAGATAGCAAGTATAGGTATACAGGTGCCTGGGATGGATCACTTCAGCTTTTAAGCCTCCTGGACTTTCTGCATGCACTCACGGACAGAAGGCTGCTCTGTCTAGCCCAACTCAATGCATTCAAACATAGGGAAGAGCATGCTGTCTTCTCCAAATAACTCTTAATTTGTGACTTGAGACCATTTCTGCAAGACAACCACTGGTGTGCTGTCCTGTGGAGCAAGTCTTCCCAGCTGATTACACATTGTTAACGAAGGATTAATTCTTTAGTATATTAGCGTCTCATAACTCATGGACCAGTGGGAATCCAGGCCTAAGCTAAGTACGCTGAGCCCACGCTTTGTTTTCCCTTTAATTTCCTCAGTTACCACATTATTTTCAACAATCAGCAGGTAAATCTCTTCATTTCAGAAGAAGCACATAGAAAGCCCTGCTCCCAGGTAGATAAGGAAACACATTCTTTGTCGTAAGGCCTAAGAATTATGGTGAAAGACATAAAGGTAGGCTCTTTTAGTTAACAGTTTCCAAATAGAATTCCATTCTTCTATTTAATTATATGTGTTTCAATGTATACTCTACTTTAAATGACTGTGAGAAGACCATATGTTTTGGAAATATAATGCACTTTTTCGAGTATTCACAGTTTATTTGTCAAACCATAGTATACTTTCAAGGAAATGAGATAAATAAAAAACAACTCAAGAGAGAGAAATAAGGGAGACTTGACAAGTAGTCAATTTGATTTTATCCTCAAACTACACTGGCCCGCGCGAAGTCTTTTTGAAATGAAGCAATTTACTATGGATGTGCTTATTTTCTACCCTAAAGTTTTTGTTATTGGTTTGTTTCTTGCCCAAAGAATTCTACAGACAGAAGTGCCAGCCCTTGACTTCCCATAAGCAGGTTATCATCTCTAGAAGTTTAAAGAAAAGATATTTATGAGCCTTTTATTTCACACTTACCCTGACAATCACGGATCATAGAACTCAGAGATCTCTGCTGGCATCAGAAGATCAGTTTCTGCATCTGTAAAATGAGATTGATAACATACAACCCACAGGTCTTGTTTTAAGAATTAGATTTTGGAAGGAAGAGGAGGAGTTAGCCAAAAGACAAGGAAGGGAGGAAAAGAACCACGAAAAGGCAATGTCATATCAAAGGCAGAGGAGAAGATAATGTTTTATCTGTATGGTGGGATTTGGGGTGTTTTTGTATCCTTTGTGATTTTATATATCTTAATTTTTTGTCATTAACATGTGTCATCTATTTAAAAAAAAGAAAAACCAGAAAGTCAGGAAAAGAATATATTTTTAAGAAGGGGTAGTCAAGAGGTTTTAAAGAGGCCCAGAGATCTAACGACTTCTCAAAAGACAGGTAGCCCTTCATCCATCCCAAACCTTTTTATGCTCCCTCCACATTGCTCTGTGGAGGGAAAACAGCCAGGAGCCAAAAGAATGACTGGAAATACTGGTTTCTAGGAGTCCCCCTTTAATGATTAATTGCTGTACCTTAAACCCATGGAGCTTCTCGATTTCCCCCATTTTAAACATATCTCTGTATGGGGAAAGCTTGGCCACTGTTGAAATATTCTGGATTCAGAACAACTGAAGCAGTTTAGGGTAGTGGTGCTGATTCTTTTAAATGTAACTGTAATGTTTTCAAGATTTTCCAAGATAAACTGGATAAAACCTACAGATAAAAACTTTTTACAATTTTTTCACAGTCAGTGAATGCTATTCAATAAGTAGTTAAGACTCGTCTTATCATATCATAAGAAACATAACCTCAATGTACTAAATGTAGACCATCTTCATCTTATTTCATCTTATGAAATGTTTAGTATTTCCTTCCTCCTATCAAAAAATAAGCTTTCAAAGTTAGGATAAACGATTTTACATGTTCTGCTTTAAAATGTGCAAGAAGTTTTACAAAATTCTTTTAGATTGCACGTGAGAAAAAAACGTTTAGACCACTGGCTTAACAGAAGATACATAGGTTTTGGAGGCAGAAAGTCCTGGATTTCATTGCCAGATTTGCCATGTCATGGGTGTGTGACAGCGCAAGTTACTTCAACAGCATTCCCTTAAAAATATAGACTGAACCTCCTTTAAACCGCAGGCAGGGCCAGCCCCGTGGCTTAGCGGTTAAGTGGCGCACTCCGCGACTGGATGCCGGGGTTCGCATCCCGGGCGTGCACCGACGCCCCACTTCTCCAGCCATGCTGAGGCCGCGTCCCACATACAGCAACTAGAAGGATGTGCAGCTATGACATACAACTATCTACTGGGGCTTTGGGGGGAAAATAAATAAATAAAAATTAAAAAAATAAAATAAAATAAACCGCAGGCATCGCACTAACCACTGGGAACACGAGAACACGGTATAAATGGTCTCTCCCTCATAATCCCTCTGGGCCTCCCTTGCCCCTACGTAAAACTCCTACCTCAGGGGACTGCTGTGGAGACGGGGAAGTGCGGTGTAGAGCACCTGATACAAAGGTGGTGCCAAAGACACCAACATTATTTTTTTTTTAATTTATTTTTTTATTGCAGTAATGTTGGTTTGTAACATTGTATAAATTTCAGGCATACATCATTATACTTCTATTTCTGCATCGGTTACATCATGTTCACCACCCAAATACTAATTACAATCCATCACCACACACCTGTGCCTAACCATCCCCTTCAGCCTCCAAAGTACATTATTATCATTGTTACTGTCAGAGCAAAGGGTAAAAGTCTGTCCTCTGCATATAAACTGCTAGGATGGGGAATGCCAGAGGAAAGTGCTGTGACTTTTTGTATTAGAAGCCTCCTTTCCTCTCAGTCCACTTTTTACCCCAGCCACTGCCACGTGGACCACCCGAGCACAGGCCGACCGGAACCACTCCCGCCACCCGCGCCGGCTTCGCGTCTACCCAGGGTGCTCTGCGCCCGCACATGCGCAGCATGCAAAGGCCGGGCGGTTTGCCCTGAGGCATAATTCCTGACCACGTGTGGTGTGGGCCCTAGGATGCCAAAGAGTTCTAAGGCTCTTTTGGTAAGGCCTCTCAGGGAGGGAGAACCCGCTGACCCACAGTAGGCACCAACTCAAGCAAGCATCTTTGCACTGACTTTCCTGCCTTCTCTGTCTAGCTTTCCCGGTCTCTCACTCCCAATCTAGGCTCACTTCTCAAATGGGTTACATGCATGCAAGCCCTGGTCTCGGGCTTCGCTTTAGAGGGAAAACCAGGCTAAAACACTATCTATAGAAAGCAAATATTAATTGGGCAGAATTTTGTTAGTGGAAGAGTACATAAAATTAACCATACAATGAAATAGTATGCAACCATTACAAAGAGTGAGGTAAATCAATCCAGTTGACATCAGAAATTTCTAAGATATTGTTCAATAAGAAAAGCAAGATACAGAGCAGTGTATATAATATGATCTCATTTTGTAAAACAAAAAATAGCCTTCCCCCAAAGCCCTATGTCTGTATATAAATATGCTTATTTGTAAATGTGTATATGTAAGCATTTATTTTTAAATTATATATATATATATAAACTTTAAAAAGGGTACATATTAGTTTGTTAAACGTGTTTCGGGAGGAATGAAAGGGAGGAGGTTAGTGAAACAAAGAAAAAGAAGTCATTATTTTTTTTAAAAAAAGCATGTATGACATGTTATTCCATTCAGGTAAAATCATACATATGTGAATACATGCCTATGACAGATGAAAGAAGGATAGTCACCAACATGCTGATGGTAATCATCTCTGGGATGTGGGACTTCAGGTAGGTTTTTACGTTCTTCTTCACATTGTTCTTGTTTTAAATTTTACAATAAGCATAGATTAATTATATAATCAGAAAAACATTAAAGCAATCAATATCAAAACAAAACAAAAAATGAAGAGACAGTTTGGCATAGTGGTTAAGAGTACAGACTCTGGAGCCAGAGAACCACGTTCAGATCTTGGCTTTGTCACTTATGTTTGTGTGATGTTGGGCAGGTTATTTCATTTCTTTGGGCTTCAGCATCCCCAACTGTAAAATGGAGATGTAATAATATAGTACCTACCTCACTGGGCTCTTAAGAAAATTAAATGGGAAATATAGGTAAAGCTTTCAGAACGGTGCCTGGCACATAGCAAATATAAAGGTTAGCTATTATTATTTCTTTATAATTGGTTGTAAAAAGAAAAGTAGCTGAAGAGCTTAGATGTTACCGCCTTTAATTAGGCAGGGAGAAAAGATACACCTCATCGTCATCATGGCCTGGGTGACCATTCATACACAGCCATTCTACTCCCGCAGATAAGGCAGCTTCTGCTTCCAGGAAGAAAGATAAAAAAGAAGAGAGGAGGGAAAAAAGGATGGAGAGAGAGAGGAAGGGGGGGAAGAAGGGAAGGAGGAAGAGAGAGAGAAGGAGGAGGACAAGGACAATGAAAGAAAGGAAAAAAAGAAAGAAACAAAATACCCCAAAGGCTCCACTTGGATGCTGGTGGGACAGGGTAGGCCTGGCAAACTTCCGCCTCCTCCCGGGTGCCCAGCCTGACCTGAAGGATTCTCTTCCCAGCTTCCTGGTCACCCCAGTTCTTCCAGAAGCATGCAAGTTCATGTTGGTGATCTATTATCTTCTTAATTGAGAAGCAACTGTTGGTATAGTACATTTTGCCCACATTCATGTCACATTTCCTAGATACCAGACAAAAAATACTTTTAATTAGTTATAAATGAGAATGTATACACAACAATTCTGAAACTGCATCTTCATCAAAGTTTGCTTCCAAGTATGATACATGTGGCTTTAGTGCCAATTCTTATTAATTGTGCAATGCAGTGTGCTGACACCCATGACACATTTCCCCATATCCATTCACAGAAATAGTTCTAATTAGCCATAAATGAGAGTGTACACACAACATTTCCAATAGCCGCTCTGTTCCTCTCAAAGTTCACATCAGAGAAAACTTAAACTGTTGCCACTGAGCTGCCTTGCTCCAATTCCAACAACTCCTATTTCAGAAATGCTTAGAAAATTGAATCTGTAGATCTTCCTGGGTAAACAGATCTGAGGTAGATTTATTTCAACTCAAGTCCTTTATTTGAGATACGTGTGCTCCTGAATCCAACTAAAATGCATACCATGGCCATTTCAAAGGCAGTGATAAAATTACGTGGTTAAATATTTTGGCTAGATTTCCTGTTTCCAGAGGCCTGGGCTTTGTATTCTGTGGCTTCTGCATTTGCACATGGCGATCGGGGCAGTATTAAATGGCACCACATCTGCCAACCTCCATAAGAACTATGCTCCATGGGGAAGGCTCCAGGCACCCATCCGCCACTATGAGCCACACACACAGGGATGGACGACTCCAAACCTCAGTAACCGCCTTCAAATTCCCAGACCTTTAACTTTCTTCAGGAATCCAGACTGTAAGCCTCTTAAGATGATCACAGATCATAAAATACCTCCCTCAGTTCAAAGCGTGGAGTCTATAAAATCACTTTAGTTGTAATTCAGATATTCTCCAAACTTGAGGCTGTGAAGTATTCTGATCTGCTCTTAGATTTCTGTGTAATCTCTCCTTCGTTTTATAACAGGCTTTGTCTTCAGTTGCTCTGTGCAAATGGCAATCCTTTACAAGTCATGAGTCTGTGATGTGTGCATGGCACATCACAGTGAAAGCGGGGCTTTATGTGAGGGGAGGAAAAACAGTTCTGTCAAACTTTGCTTACTTTCACTACCTTTAAAAACTCATTAAATAGAATTCTGCCTTTTACTTGCCGAAGTGTTTAAAACCCTTTTTAATGAAAAATTCTAATCCTATATAATCACACCATAAGTACTTTCTTTCTGTTCAAAGAGGAAACAGTGTTAAATTTTAATGCATACCTCTGGCAGGCTATAATAAATGTGTTCAGCCAGTTTTAAATCGGATTAGTGTAACTGTTACAGATTAAAGAAAAACCCTAAGTGATTGGAGCAATTCCCCAACTCAAGGAAACTAATTTAGGGTCCAGGCCTGATCATACCAGACGCAAAGGGAACATCAAGATTCTTGCCTTCAGTTTGCCCAAAATTTGTTCAGAAGCCAACAGAATAAGGTCCTGTGCTAGTATTGCAGCCATATAAATACAAGCTTTCCACCAGAAGGCAGATCAGACAGAATGCAACCCTAAGCAGTGTGGAATGAGGGGAAAAGCAGCAGAAGTGTAGAGTCCTAAGAGAATTTAGAAAGGACAAAATCACATCCCAGGGAGAGGACCACGGAGACTTCTTAGAGGATGAAACTTCTAAAAGAGGCTGTAAAGGACAGACAGACTCCATAGATGAGGAGTCAAGGACATCCCTGCTAAGGTGGGAAAGAGTATAAAGTTTTCCAAAAATTAGGGAAAGTTCATTTGTCTAGAACTTAGAGAAGGGGAAGGGAATGCCTCTGTTTTGAGGGCTGCTATGTAGTAGGCCCTGTACCGGGCACCTACATCTCTTTTCTCATTTAGTCCCCACAACATTGTAGCGAGAAGGGTATTATTACCCCTGTTTTGTAGGTGAGAAAACTGAACCTCAGACAGATTCTTAAACTTGCCTAAGGTCAAACAGCTAGCAAGTGCTGGCACTCAGAAGAAAAATATGGTTGAGCTTCTCTCGATATTTAGTCTAGGGAACTCCCTAAATCATACCTTCTTATTAGCCATCTTTAAGGCCCAACTTGTTCTAAAAGACTTTCCTCACCCCCTGAGTTAGAAATATTTCTAGTCCCTGAATTCATAGCATTCTTATTGTCTGCTACCCGAGTGGCACTTATTGTACCCTGGCTTATATTGTTATCTTTTCTCATGCAAATATTTACCTCAGTACTTCTTACTTGGTGGGGTCAGTTGTAGAGAGCAGGAATATCAAAAACATCTGAGAAGAAATGCATATATATTTAAATATTTGTATTTATGAGACTGCCCTCCCACCCACCTCACTTGGCCTTCCTTCGTAGTCTAATACATGTAGAGGAGAGGGTAGTTACTTAAACCCTATGAGTGCATGCCAGAACATGTGAAAGCACCAGCAATGAGCATTTTAAAATATTCCCTCAGTGGTTCTAATTCCCACCCCATCCCAGGTAAGAACTATTAAGCTGGCTGTATCAAAATCAGGTGATTTGACCTCAGGTCCCAGCTCTGGACTTACTAATTGCGTGATCTTTACCCTCTCGGAGACTCAGTTTTATCATCGTAACTTGAAAATCATTGTATCTGCTTTACTTACATTTTAGAATTATTGTGAGGATCAAATGAATAAGTCTGTAAAGTCTTATATAATGGTATGGTATTAACGCATCTGGATTAGAAATGCTTTGAAAGCAGTACTGTGCGTCTTGCTTGTATGTACGTATTCTAAGTCATTGCGCGTAGTGGATATTTAATACTAGATGTTGATTCGCAGATGGAATTCTTACAACCTTGGGGAAATAACAGCCTATCCAACCAAGATGTCAGGGAAAGTACTGAAATATCCTCCACCTAGGATAATATTTGCCTCCCAAATGCCTCCCCAACCTGGATACACTTTAAAGACAATGCTTGTTTGAAAGTCATGGCTGTGTGGGCCTTTCATGCCTCCGAAATGAGAAGCTTTGAGCTCCACATTGTCATTATTCACCAACTTTCTTCTTTCAGGTTCTGCATTCTGTACCTCCACGCCAAGATGCTCACCCACACCTCTTCAAAGTCAAGAAAACGTGACTCTGCTTTAGATAAGTTAATGATTATTCAAGAGTAGGGGACACTGCTTACCTTTTGAAAAAAATCTTCTAATGAGTGATAAGAAAAAAAATTAATTTCCTCATTAAAAAAGGACCAGGAAGGGGAAATGAAAGCCAATACAAACCCCCCACAGTAAGAGAAAGGGTCACAAAAAAATAAAAACATGGATTCATGAATGCAGGAAAAAATTAAAACAAACCTGCAGGCCCTCATAAATACAGCAATCAGGCAGCTCCATGCATGCATCCCATATTCGAATTTTTATTTTGCGTGAAGTATTTTTGTATCTGCTTTGCCTAAATTTGGCCTCTTACCAAAGCCTAATGACTCTATGTTAAGCTTTTCAAAGGATCTAAACTTAAAACTAGAAAAAAAAAAAAAACTGTTAATTTATCTTGCAGGAAAAGGTGTTATAATTTGAATGAAAAACAGCAAGCAGACAGATAAAAAGGACCTGGCACAAAGCTCGGGCAATCAGTAACATTTTTTGTACCTACAGGCTAAGAAATTGTCTCCAGTATTGTATGATGTTATTAGCATCGCCTATTTTCACTTGTACCTTAGGTTCAGGCATAATTGTATGAAGATTTGAATGTTCTCCACAGATTTACTATTTTAATAAGCTCATAATGTTAAGACACTATATGTGTTGACAGTGGTACTTAAAATGTATTAAGCAAACAAATCAAATCATTTTCTTTAAAATGCTAAGTAGCCTAATTTGACCTTTCTACAGGCCCTGGTCTGTTCTAAAATCATCCCTTATGATAGTCTTCTCTCTGACCTTTCTGTCTTTTATTCCATCCATCAACAAAGGTTCTATCCTCACAGACCATGTGTATCATTCCAGAAATTGCCCCTGTCCTATTGAAGGTTACGGGGCAGAGTGGGGCCACTATGAGCTATACCCTGAATATTCATGGTAACTAAAAATGTGCTCAGGGTACCAGAAGGCAGGTGTGTTATCTGTTCATAAATCTAGTTTATAAAGTAAAACTCAGGGCTGGGTGGGATATGGCTGTATTAAAATAGCAACAGACATTAAGTCCGTGCACAAACAAGAGGGAGAATCATTGGCACAGGCAAAGCCAAGGGCAGAGGCCTCTGGAGTTGACACTGAGTTCAGCATGGAAACAAGAGAGGTAGTGTCTCCAATTTTAGTGGGTCCTTTTGGGTCTCTTCTTTATTCTAAGAAATAATTTAATAGCATTTTTTAAAAACCTGGATCCATTGCAAAAACATTCAAAAATACCCACAAGCATGAAGGAAAAAAAATCAATGATTCTCTCTCTCAGAAATGATCCTTCTTATTGATTTTAGATCTTCTTATCCCAGGCTGCTTCTATGCATGTTTGAATGGGTTAATCTGGCCCACGCTGATTTTTAAGTTGCTTTTTTTCACTTAAAGTCTTGTTAACATCTTGTTAACATCTTTTCATGTGATTAAATATTCTCCAACTACAATAACACTTTAAGAGCTGTATAGTATTCCCTTAAGGAACACTGTGTTGCCTGTGGCTGGACGTTTAGGTCCACAACCTAATTAAGATGATGATGAACTTATAGCAAGTTCTTTTTGAATACCAAAACCTGTGCACTCCTCACAAGACGTTTTGCAGCTCTTAAAGCCTTTGACTCTTGTGAATTTAGTGACTCAGACTTTTCTATTGACTTCCATTTAATTTTAAAGATATATTACACACACACACCTTTTGCCTCAAAATAAAACCCCTCAAAATAATTTCATCTATCTCAATTAACATTTTACTTCTATAATTCTATAATGTGCACATCATATATATTTGTTTCTGCAACATCATCCTGAGAATAAATGTGTAAAATAATATACACACTTAAGAAACACCACACAATTACTTCCACCCAATCCAAAGACAATTCTCATTTATTTATTAATTCATTCAACAAGTACTTATTGAGCACCTGCTGTATGATTTGCCCTGTGCCATGCTGCATGGCAGAAATATGTAAACATCCACAGTGGGTATGTCTTTACTTCCAAGCCAAAGCCACCAGGAAGCGTTTATGTTTTTCCTATAGTTTCCTCAAATATCAGGAACGATATTTAATTTATGTTATATAAAGATGTCATTCTACTTTTGAGTGGCATGTGAACCTTTTTCAGCTTGTTGACCAATTAATTAATAGCAAGAAATTCTAACAAATCTCTGGACAGAAGTATAATCAGTACTAACCTGGGCCAAATCACCAGGATTTTCAGCAGATCTATACTTCTATCTGTGGTCCTTAGATAACAGCTAATAGATATCAGTTATGCAAGAGGCTTATCTTGATAAATGAGATGGGCAAATGAGCAGTTATAGTAACAATCTTCAAGCATCCCATCGCCTCCCCGTGAAGTTTTAAAACCTGTCCATCAAGATCATCCAATACCTCTCTTGCATATCCTCATGCTAAACTGCGTTCCTTTATCCCATTATTTCACTTTTTAATATGTGTACCTTTACCTTCTCAGTTCTTCACTGATTCAGCTCCAAACCTAAGATTCCACCCATCCTGTCTCCCAGCCTTCAAATAGCCTCCCAGACTCCCATCAGACTAAACAATGACCCTCTCCTAGTGAGTGCTTCAAAAAACACTGAAAGCTGGCCTCCTTCACAAAATCTTTCCTGACTGATTGAAAGCAAAAGCAGCTTTCCAAAGAGTTCCATCTCAACAGCATGCCATTCCCCATGGAAAGTGTATTTGGATATAGATAGTGTTGTTACATATGTATGAGAATATGTTTTACTTATTCACCTGCCTTTTTTCAGCCTGACTGTGAGCCCCTAAAGACTGAGAACACGTTTTCTCTCTATTCTATAATGATCCCACCCCCAGAGTCACAGTGCTAAATGTTGGTGCCACCTTTCTTCAAGGCAGCTATGAGTAATTATGACATTTTAACTACGAGGTCTAACTGAAAATACAGATTTTTAGAGGTGGGAGGCAGCATTAGAGGTTATCCGGTCCATAACCTTCTTTTTTTTTAAAAGCTCTCATTTATTTGGTATTTACTGTGCCAGACACTGTGCTAAGCTCTTTAGGTGATTTATCTCATGTGGTCCTCACAAAAACTCATAGGGTAGGAGCTCTAAATATCCCCATTTTTATGTGCATACCAAAACCCTCCTTATGCCTTTTCACAATAAATTACACATAAATGAGTGAATAATAATAGCTCAACCTAGGATCAGGACTAGAGGAAGACAGGAGAGGCACCTAGGGAGCAAAATTTAAGGAGACACTCTCGGGGTTTTATAAGCGCCTCCTTAAATTTTGCACTCTAGGTGCCTCTCTTGCCTCACCCTATCTCAGCCCTAGCCCAGACTTTATTGCATGTTAGTTTCTACTCTCCATATATTTATGTATTTAATACTTGCAACAACCCTATGAGATAGGTGGTATTGTCCTAATTTACAAATGAGGAAAAGGAGACTAAGTAACATGCCTAAGCTCTCACGGTTAATAAGTGGCAGGGATGGGATTCAGATCCAAGCACCCTGGTTAGAGGTACATAGATAATTGAACGAATACATGAAAGAAGGAATGAATGACTTTCAAGGCCACCCTGAAAGTTCTAGGCAGAGCTGAGCCCAGAATCCTAATTTTCTGGCTCTCAATCTAGTACAGTTCCCCCACACCTCTGAATATCAAGCTTTGTTTGGTGGGTTATCAAATTAAATATGAGCAATTGTTGAGTTTTCTCCAATTGTGCAGACAATAATTTTTTTACAGCAGATAATAAAGATACTTGAATAAAACACATGTAAAAGTTACCTGTCTATAATTTCCAACATTAATAGATGGTTTTTCTTCAAATTATTTAATCTCTACAGTTGAGTTAAAGTCAAATGTTCAAACTATTAGAAAAAATGATGAACTATAAGTACAGTTATACGCTGTCAGACTGCTCATTTCTATGAAAAGTCATAGACCCAAGTATCTGCTCAGGTCCTTTCCTGTTCCACTTTATAGGTTGTTTCTCTGGTTCTGGTAAAATTTCAGTGGATTCCATGTCCCGGAGCAATAGGGGTTGTCTTTATAATGAGATCTAATGCTTCACAGAATGTTAAGTTGTTGCTATATCTTCCATGGAACATTTTTGCTCTGCCTTAAAGCTTTCTGCTC